GTAATGCCTATATCTTCACCATTCAGTTATAGGCAAGGGTTTTAAACAGTTAATTATTTACACATTTAATATCAGGTGCCAATATATATTGTTTTATCTATCCTTTATTTTACCAGAAAGGTCCCATTAAGAAACAATCTCTTCTTCCAAGGAGATATAGTCAAGATGGACAGTTAGTAAAAATGTACCGTATTACAAGTACAATTGGACGGATAACGAAAAAAAAATACAAAAACAGACAAACAGAAACAATATTATTTAGAAATATATAACAATACTGCATCTCTTGGATAAAGCTAATAACGGGCAGAAAACATCAGAAAACGTATTAGTCGGGCTCTTGTGTTATAAAATATGTTTTAAACTCCCAAATTCCTTTAGTACTCTCTTATTTGGAGTTTATGTCTCAGCATGCCATGATGTGTCAGCAATTACAGGACTTCGATTTAAAAAGGAACAACTGGTTAACTTTAATGTAGATACTATAAATGGCAATAAACACCTAATCACTCATGCATCAGTGCCTTCAGTATCTCTGTGCTTTGAATGTATGCCAGGCTCTGTTTCCTTGAGTGCTGGGACCTGCTGTGGAGCAGACACATTATCAAACACTGCCAGCAGGTTCTCAGGGAATCTCAGCTCTATAAATATGTAGAGTGCTGTGAAAGTTTCCATGTCAGCGCTCCATTGTCCTGCGTCTCATAGGTGTGATAAAGAGAGCTTGACTCAGATGAAGAGCTGCATACGGGGTGATGAAGAGGAAAATTAAATGATTATTAGCAACAGCGAGGGGAATGTAACTAAGTATATTCTCAAGTACTGATGTTACAGTTTACTGAAGTAGGATTTTACAATAGTGCACAACTATTACTTGTAAAAGTGTTTTTATATTGTGTTACTTTTACTTCTTTAACTAAAAGTATTTCTTCCACTACTGTATGACCTCATTGGGATTAATGAACTAAATCAAAAGTAGTAAACCTAATACATTAATATGGATGAGGAGAAAATAGTAGGTTACATAAAAGCTCACCATTATCATATTCAGAATCGGTAGACATATTGAAGTATCTCAAAATGCTTCAATGTGGCACCTTAAGACATACAATTAATAAATAAACATTTCAAACCTACAATTACATCCAAGCACTGTAGTGGTAGTGAACGTAAAGTACGTGATGTGACGTCTGGACGAGGCCTTTCATTGGCTGAGCCACTAGCAACTGAATTGAGTCCATAGCAACGGACCCACAACGCAACATATATTATCCAGAAATGCAGACTACTTATTAGAGCTTTACAACACTTTTGTTTTGCAATACAATAAGTGATTAATGATAAAAGTTAGAGGCATTAGTAGCCGAAATACTTGACTTCTTAAAATGGGAGATAAAAATCAACAAAAACGTGTTTTTATCAACGACGTCGACAGGTATTCCTCCAAACACATCGCCAAGGTAGCTAAGCTAAGCTAAGTAGCTAATGTTATATTATTATTATGTTATATATATTAAAAATGCAGAGGTGGGAGAAGTACTCAGATCTTGTACTTGAGTAAAATAAGTAATAGAGTGTAGGAAATTACTCAGGCACAAGTCCTGAAATCCAAATATTACTCAAGTAAAAGTATACAAGTATTAGCTTTAAAGTAGGCTATGCTTAAACTACCAAAAGTAAAAGTGCTTATTATGCAAATTGGTACATTTCTTAATATGATATGATATGTTTTGATTATTATTATTGATGCATTGAAGTGTTATCAAAGCTGGTAAAGGTGCAGCTAGTTTGAATGACTTTGTATACTGCAGGGTAGCTTGTGAATTTACTCCAGGTGTAACTAAGTCTGGTTGAAGTGTTGATTATATTATATTTATATCTGATTTGTAGTGGATTAGAAGTACAAGTAGCATACAGTAACATGGAAACACACAAGTAAAGTACAAGTATCTCAACATTAAAAAAGTACAGTACTTCAGTAAAAGTACTTAGTTACTTAACTTCCCACCTCTGGTTATATATTTAGTGAAAAGTGGCATGTCTCTCACGAGGTAAAAGTATTTTTCTGACTTTCTTAACAGTTTTTATCGACATGTTTGACCGGAGAGGACCCTGAGGAGGCAGAAGCAGAGGAGACCCCCCCTCAAAGTGCACCTGCTTTCCAGATAGTGGGAACTTCCTCAACCAAAGATGATAAAGAAACCTCTCTGCTTGAACTATACACGGTGAATATACCAATAATACAAATACAAAATGGATGCTTTTAACAGAGCTGGGAAGAGTACTAAGATCTTGTTTTTAAACTACTAAAGGGTAATTGGCTATATAATCTTTTTTGGTAGTCACCAACTCGAGAGGATCTTCTTGAGCGCCTGCTGGAGTGTGACGTGGTGTTGTACAACATCTCAGAAAGCACCTCAGAGCAGCAGATTGAAGATGCAACATGGGCAATCACAGGTAAGAGAGAGAGTGAGCAGGCTGATTATTTAGAGTGCGGGCTTAAGCACACATTGGTTTCTGTACCTAAAGATGTAAGACTATCGCTCTTTTCTTTTACCTCCTTGTATGTAGCCCTTCATGCTGAGATTGAGAACTTCAAATCTCGGAAAATGTTCATCCTGGTCTCAAGCGTGATGACCTGGGCCATGACCAAGTCTCAGAATCCGGTGAGCCTGCTGGGGGAAATTAAGGCAAACACGTCCTGTGCATAAAACACAACCAACGCCTTTTTATATTCTCTCTTCAGGAAGAAACAAATGTTCTGCTAACAGAGGAAGAGTTTCGAAGAAGAAGGCCGCATCCAAACTTTAAAACCCACCATAATCTGGAGAAACTCGTGCTGGAACTGGGGAAAGGTGTAAGTCAAACATTGAGATCAAAAGTTCAACATACCTAATACATATGAACGTAAATATCCTAATGGTAGCATGTTGTCCAGTTCAACCTTCATGCCATACAAATGAATGTTTGCTATGAAAATACAAACGATAGCAATGCCTGAAGTCATCACAGACTGTTTGATTTCCAATCTGACAGAAAAGGTCCAAGCTAACTGGATATGTTGTAGCTTGTGGTCTTCAGTACGGAAAGGGAGAGAACCTCTTTCACTACTTTTTCAAGGTATATATTAATGAGATAACGTTTCAGTATTCTGTATGGCTGTGTAAAAACATCATTTGAAATGTTTTTGTGTTTTCTAACAGGCGTCTTGGTTGATGCAGATGCCACAAGTTCCTCTCTTTGGACGGGGCACAAATCACATCCCCATGATTCACGTATATGACCTCGGAGGGTGATTTTCATTTACTGTACTTCTGTATAGATGCTGTATTTTCTTTTCTTTGTGTTGAGGTTGCTGAAGGGCTCAACTGTGATTCTTTTTCAGAGTGATCCAAAACATAATTGAACTCAGGCCCAGGACAAAGTACATTCTTGCTGTCGATGACTCCAAGAACACTTTAGGGGAAATTGTAAAGGTAAGATTGTTATTAACATGAATGCAGCAATTCATTCAAAACAATATTGCAGGTTATTTTCATATTCATACCACCACTGTACCATCTTTGAAAAACACAATTTCTTGAGTTTTGAAAATGTTAAGTCTTTTAAAAGTATTTCACGTGTTCTTAATATGTTTATTATTCATCGACAAAAAACACACTGGACGCTGCACTAGGTCAGAAACCAGAGGAGACTGAAGTCCAACGTAGACGGACCACTTTCGGTCCAAATGTGCTTTCAATTAAGGGCAGCTCATTGTGGAATAGCCTCCCAACTGAGATACGGGGTTGTCCCACTCTCAATAGTTTTAAAGTTCAACTCTAAGAATGGTTGAGCAACCAACAGACGTGCAATCACCGCTAAATGCACTTTAACACATGGTATCTCCTCCTGCACTTTATATATCGTAGCTGCTACATTGTACTGCCATGTGGTAAATGCTTGTATATGCTGCTCATGCTCTTTCTGCATATCATGTATTTATTTTTGCTATGTTTATAAATGTCATGTTCTTAAATGTTGTATGTGAGGGACTACGGATGGAAATTAGCTCAAAGCTAAAATCTGGCAGATTTACATTTTGAAGCATTAATTGTTAAAAATGTTCATCATGTCCCTCTTCAAATAAACGATTAATTGAAATGAAAATGTTTTGGTGTTTAGTGCTTTGCTAATTCAAAATGACAAAAAAGTGCTTTCAAATTCTCCTTCTCTGCTCTTAATACTCCAGATGATAAGCAATACACTTGGGCCAGGGGAAATTAACCTCCTGTCAGATCAGGACGCCATCACCATGAAGGCTTTTAAGGTACAGTATGTGTAATATATTCGAAATAAATGAGAATCTAGTCANTACAAGCGTACACAGCTCATGTTTGGAGAAACCTTAAAGAAAGGCATCAGTAAAATGGAACTTCTGTGTGAACTATTCATATCTTAAACTGCACTGTAACTTTTTATTCATGTACTTTTTCTTTTAATGTTTCTTTTATTATCTTTTCTTTTTAATGAGTGTTTTTAAATGCCTTTGTCTGAATGTCTTTCATTTTTGTAAAGCACCTTGAATTGCCTTGCCTTGCCTTGCTCTTGCCTTGCCTTGCCTTGCCTTGCCTTGCCTTGCCTTGCCTTGCCTTGCCTATTGTGACCCTCTGGGTAAAAAAAATGAGTCATAAAAACGTCAAATACAATTTTGATAACATCTGTTGAAGCTTTAAATCTTGCTTTTACTGATAAGAAGTTCAATCTCCTGCAGATATGCATCAGGTAAAAGAGACACTGCTATTCAGTTTGTGTTAAAAGGATCGTCTGACATCATAAGGCAGAGACGACTGCTCCTTAAAAACGTTAACATTAGTGTTATCTTTGGCAGATCATATAATAAACTCTAAATTGAGCTTCATACATTCCAGCGCACTAATATAAGCAGACTGTCAAACTTCTATGTACTCTCAGCGCTCTATGCCCAAGGATTTCATTCCCCCACATTATTAGGCCTTACAAACCTCTCTGAGACTTTGGAGAGGAAGTCGAACAGGTAATGCAGGCAGGAGGAGTTTCTGGCAGGCAGCAGACAGGACAGCAGCTGCAGGGCGGAGGTATTGTCCTGCGGGCTGGATAACGCCCGGCCTTTGAGCAAGGCAGCGTGCAGCTCGGGGGGCAGCAGGGGCTCTGGCAGCTCCCTGCAGAACTGCTTGATCAGCGTGGAAACATCATAAGGGAGGGCTGTGGAAAGACAACCCTCACCGCTATTCAACTTAGCCTGAAAGCACAAACAAAGGGGGTGAGATGAACACCTCAGTTTTATCCCACAGGCCATAAGAGCATGCTAAACACCTGAGCTCTGTCAAGCGCCCCGATAAACATTCCTGTTGTCATCTTGCAATATACTAATATATATAAATAAATATAGTTATCAACGCAATAAATGTTGTCTTAAAAACTATTTGAATCTGTCTGGGGCTCTATGATAGCCTACATAGCTCAACTTAAGACACTAAATTAAGAAGAAAGGGGGGGAACTACGAATGTATGTGTATGTTTTTTTTCCTTGTGTCTCTTTTTATCTGTTTGATTTTGTTATATTAATTTTTATTTATTTGTTCTGTCTTTGTATACATGTATGTATGTAGGTACGTGTATGTATGTGCATGTGTACATGTGTGTGGGTATGTACACACACATATGTGTATATACATATGTGAGTATATGGTTACAAGTCTTACTGTTACTATTCTTTATTCCCTTATCTATACATTTTATTTTAATATTATCTTCTACATTAGTTTAACCTATACATGTATCTATTTTATTTAGTTAGTAATTTAATTTACTAGCTAGGACCGGGAGGGGGGGAAAGATAAATCAAAAATATTGACTGTATAAATGTAAACTCATTGTGCCTGACTCAATAAAAAAAATATTTTAAAAAATAAATGTTGTCTTAATTTACATTGTTTGATTTCATATTCTGTTCTTGTACATATCAAATTATATTGACATGTGTATAAATACTTTTTGCACTGCTTTTTATTTTGTATGTTGCATTGTTGGAGGAGCTCAGGTCAGAAGAATTTCGTTGCCATTTCTACACTGTAGCTTTGTGCATATGACAAAACCTTTGAATCTTGAAAAGAAGACACATCACATCAGTGTTGGCTCAAACCAACAGATGGTGCTATTGCTTCAGCGGAACTTGTATTAGAAAAAGGTCAAAAGGTTATCAGAATCAGAATACCTTTATTCGTTCCACACAGGGGAAATGTACATTTGTTACAGCAGAATAGAGCCAAAGACAGCTTAATATTAACTAAGGAGCATGCATTGAAAAAAAGATAACAAAAATGACAATTATTATCTAAATGATCTTACCCTGAGAGTCTTAATGCGAGGAAGAGAGCCTGATTTTCTGAACAGGCCCACAGTCCCAGCACGCTCCAGCAGAAATGAACAGGCATCCACTAAAAAGCTGAGGAACAAAATGTTCAAAAATACAAAAGGAATAAACTAATCTGCTGATCCAGTTGAATATCATATTTCTTGTAATCCTGCTACTCACCAGGGAACCAGTCCAAACTCAGGAATGTATTTCCTGGCTAAATTCTCCAGAGGAACCCCAAAGACCTTTGAACCACCAAAGAGCAGGCTCTTCTTTTTCTTCTCCAAGCTCTTCACACTTATCCCATGGAGAATTTTAAGGTGAAACCGAATCACACTACTGTCTGTGATCTTCATGGTTAAAATGCAACTCAAATACACAGCAGCAGTCTCTCACTGAAACACATCAATCTCCGTCAGTCACTTGGTAAAGTCACTGGTGAAGGAAGGAGGCCGGCTTTTATTATCCTCATCAATATCACCTGCGCTTCTGGTGAACAGGAAGTGAAGGAGTGTTGTGTTCAGGGCAGGTGGGGAACATGGTACATTTGAGCGTTCAACGTGAATATAACTTCACCTTTTGTTGTCAATTATTGGGCATGATATAATTAAAAAACGAAATAGAAACAATCTTAGCATGAACGTTGTTTAGCTCTCAAACCTTTTGAGGACATTATTTGCAAAAATACTCATAACGAGCAATCAAACCAGGCCAGCTGGATCGATAAATACAAAACTGTCACGGTAATTCTCAAAATGCTGAGAAATGTAGCTGCTTTAGAGGGACTTACTGTAGAGGGTCAAAACTCATTAAAAGGGACAGTCATTTTAAGTATGATTTACTTTGAGTATTTAAATGGTATGATATTTATTTTTTTAGGGATTATTTTAAGATAAAGTAATTAGGGAAACGATTATATGTTTACATATACCTTTGTTAGGTGGATAATTAATGGATATATGTTTTGTATATCACTTAATGAAATCTAAAAAACACAATTTACTGTATGATTTAATTCAAGTTAGAGTTTTCACTATAGACTGTACATGGTTTCCACTGCATTGTTCTACAATGTTCAGGTTAAAGGAGAAGAAAACACTTTCTTTGAGGGTTGAAACTCCAGCACACTTGTGGTATTCAAAACTTGATGTGTGAGAGGTGTTGGTGTTAATAGTACAAATGGGGTCTTTGATCATGTATGTGTGAATAAATCACAGCTCATGACCTCATGATATCTTTACTTATACAATTTATTAAATATTATAAATGTTATTTTGAAGGTGACATCACACATTTCTTTCATATACACTTTTGGTAAGCACAAAATAAAAAAATATTTTAAAAACTGGCTTATTAAAAGGTGCAATCACAAGGCATTCAAGGCATTTATGAGTAATTTGTGTTCTGCAAACACATCCAGAAGTAGGCACCAGACAGTTACTGTTAAAAGCAACTATTTTATTACAACAGAACATGTATATACAGCAAATGGAACAGTAGAAATACAGATTTGGATGGAGAAATGGTGCAGTTGGAGTGGAGTTGAATGTTTTTTGGTGCTGGACGTTTAGAAGCACTTCCTGTGGACGATGGAGGGGCCTGCCTCATCGTACTCCTGCTTGCTGATCCACATCTGCTGGAAGGTAGACAGGGAGGCCAGGATGGAGCCGCCGATCCAGACGGAGTATTTCCTCTCAGGGGGAGCGATGATCTGCGGGTGGAGGAGGAGTACAGGTTGGTACGAGGACATTTTACAATATGAAACTTCAGGCACTTGCTGTCAGCTGGATTTAAAGGGACCTCCAAATGTGAAAACACACTTCGCTCTTACTGTTTCAGTCTAGATGGTTTTTATGTGAGTTGTTGAATGTTGGAGGTATCAGCCGTAGAGATGTCTGCCTAATCTCTGATCAAATTAAACTAGATAGCACTTGCTTGTGGTTAAATTACAACAACAATGTTTTTTTTTGTGCAGAAATCCTGACCTTGTTACTCAAGATAATCCACAGTTCTTGTTGTGAGCAAGTGGGAACTATTTAGTCTTTTAGAAGTTTTTTTCAGAAGTGCATAAGAATAGGCAAGTTTGCTTCTGCGTGGTGATTGATTATTCATGTTGGCGGATGAATATCGAAAGAAAGGAAATAGTTCCTTCATTAAACTTCTCACGACAAGGTAAAAATGGCCTAATGCATTTAATAGTTTCTAACTCTATGGAAACACTTGAATTGCCTGAATCTCTTTAACCGTATCACACACATAGGTGTGAACGCGGCTATATTCTATGTTGTATTCTTTTAATTAATGTAACAACTAATGCAATACTTCTTGCTATTCATTCACTGAGCCTTTCCTAAAACTCTCTGGAGAGCCTTCCACTTGTATATTTTATTTTGGGGTGACCTTTAAGCAGTCAGTTCTGGTTCTGAAGGCTCACCTTGATCTTCATGGTGCTGGGGGCCAGGGCGGTGATCTCCTTCTGCATCCTGTCAGCGATACCGGGGTACATGGTGGTTCCACCGGACAGCACGTTGTTGGCGTACAGGTCCTTACGGATGTCGATGTCGCACTTCATGATGCTGTTGTAGGCAGTCTCATGGATACCAGCGGACTCCATACCTGCACAGGTGAGAGGAGGAAGGTGAGTGTTTGTACAGCTGACAGTAAATATATAAATAATATATATAAATACAAAAAAAGTAAAATACTTCATAATGTATTTATGTTAAAAAAAATAAACAAGCTTATGTTGTTTCTTTATTATTATAAAATATATTTGTATACACCAGTCTCTGCTGCTAAAAGAAAAATACATTTAAAAAGACTTGTGTGTGCTTACAGCTTCAGTATATTTAGTTATAAGCAATGTTTTAAATGATATATAATGCCTATACATTTTAAATATTGGGGTGGTTAAAGTAAGCTTTACAAAAAAAAATGAAACTAAAATATAATTAATATTGAGTGAAAATGATATAAACACTTTTCTTTTTTTAAATCAGTCGAAACTCAAAATTCAGTTTCATGGTGTTTTTAATTTTGTCAAATCATCATTTATTTATGTAAAATAAATGTTTTTTGTATGGATATAAATTGATTAGTTTTAGGTTAATCCGTACTTATTATTATTATTATTATGTATATCTGAGTCACTAGAAGCCATAATCAGATATAAATATGGCTGAATGAGTGTGGGTGCTCAGCTGTTATGACTCACCGATGAAGGAGGGCTGGAACAGAGTCTCCGGGCAGCGGAAACGCTCGTTGCCGATGGTGATGACCTGACCGTCGGGAAGCTCGTAGCTCTTCTCCAGAGAGGAGGAGGAGGCGGCGGTGGCCATCTCGTTCTCAAAGTCCAGAGCCACGTAGCAGAGCTTCTCCTTGATGTCACGCACGATCTCACGCTCAGCTGGAAACAGAGAGGAAAGGTCAGACTTTGTGCCCAAAACAATACAAAGAACGCTATATAAATTATTATTAAACTACTGTCAAAAGGTATCAGTGTTTAGATTTAGGCTGCACAATATAATGTTTCTTTTAATGGTCAAACTTTGGGATGGACTGCGATATTTCAGTGTTTTTGTTATAAATGTATCAGTAGAAAGTGCACTTTAAAATTGAAATAATATTCTTTTTGATAGCCCCATTTTGTGTTCAGTTAATATTAATAAAAGAATAACGTGAATAATTTCCTTTCTTTTCATTAATTCAAAAAGCAATGTGTTTTATTTTGGTAGTATACTTTTGCTTTTGGGGACAAATATGGTAAAAACCTGCTTCACATTTCTGTATAACTAACAGAATGAAAACGGTTCATGTCTACAGCTAACGTGCGTCTGGGTTTCAGGTGTTAAAATAGAATAGTCCCGCTGTGTTTCGTGTTGATGTGCTGTGTTTACCGGTTGTGACGAAGGAGTATCCGCGCTCTGTCAGGATCTTCATGAGGTAGTCGGTCAGATCGCGACCGGCCAGATCCAGACGCATGATGGCGTGAGGCAGAGCGTAGCCTTCATAGATCGGGACGTTGTGGGTCACACCGTCTCCAGAGTCCAGCACGATACCTGAGAGAGAACACAAGAGGGTTAACAGGGAGGATAAGGTGTCATATCCAGTCTGTGGGATTGTGGGAAACGGTATTTCGATCTCTCTGTCTGTACACATAAACTGAAAGATTGACAATAAAGTTGACTTTGACCGGTGAGAGGTTCAATCAATCAAACACTTAATGCTCTCAATTACAACTTCTACCTTCGTATCTCTTTTGAAAAGTCTTATAAAGTTTATTTTAGCCTGATTGCTGGAATAGCTGGATTGTTTCGTTTCAACGTGTCTAGTTTTGTCTGACCAACTTTCCCTAAACTAGAAAATATTCAATTACCATGATACAAAACAAAGAAAGGCACTTCATCCTGACATCAGAGAAGCTGAAATTGGAAAAGTAATGGTGCCTTTTTGCTTTAAAAATAGTGAAAGATGTCAGCCTTTTCTGTTTAAAGCCAATACATTTGACTCAAGTAACTAATTATAATAATTATTGACAAATCATATTTATCATGTGGTCTTTAAAATGTCATGAAATGGTGAGAAACATCCATCCCAGTTTCTCAGAGTCCAAAGTAATGTCTTTGAATGTCTTGTTTTAACAGACAGACCCAGAGATGTCCAATTTAATATTATATAAAAGAGAGAAAAACAGGAAATGTCCATATTTGAGAGGCTGAGAAGTCATTTTCTGCAATAATCGCGTGAAAATGAATTCAAATAGTGGGGGATCTTTTTTAAAGTGCGTCAGTTGTAGACAGCAGACTCACCGGTGGTACGTCCGGAGGCGTACAGGGACAACACGGCCTGGATGGCGACGTACATGGCGGGAACGTTGAAGGTCTCGAACATGATCTGGGTCATCTTCTCCCTGTTGGCTTTGGGGTTGAGGGGGGCTTCAGTGAGCAGCGTGGGGTGCTCCTCGGGGGCCACGCGCAGCTCGTTGTAGAAGGTGTGGTGCCAGATCTTCTCCATGTCGTCCCAGTTGGTGATGATGCCGTGCTCGATGGGGTACTTCAGGGTCAGGATACCTCTCTTGCTCTGGGCCTCGTCGCCCACGTAGGAGTCCTTCTGACCCATACCCACCATCACACCCTGAGGGGGAGGACACGGGTTATTTAAAGGTTCATAACTATGAGGATACACTCAGTACAAGGCCGTTAACCAAAAAATGTACAAATGAGTCATTATTAGATGTTAATGATATATCTTAAAACATATATAATTTTTTTTTAACACAATGTAGACTACGCCTATATTTATTTATTTTTTCTCTTCACAAACAGTTATGTTCATTTTCCACTAAAGCTCTTGAAATGAGAAATATAAGTACTTTTATTTCTTAGTTACATCCTTAGTCCATCTATTCTGCATTTGGACATTCTTTGTGGTAAAAAAATATACGCTGAGATTAAAATGATAATCAGTTAGATTAAAATGACTCATATCAAATCAAAAAAATACTCAATATGGTAAAATGTCTGCTCGTATACTGTCGGTCCTAATTTCAGTCAACTAGAAAAATAATACTTTGGCCTGAAGGTGGCAGCAGATAAAAGGTCATAAGGTCATATAAATCTTCATTAGAATATATACCAAGCACCGAAACAAAGCTGACTTTAACCTCTTGGTTCGCTGCTTAACTACTGCAGATGTTTTAATCAGTCACATAATGAAATAAGCATATTGATATATAAGATCAGGTAGCTGAAAACTTTAGGATCAGACCTTGTTTTTTATCAAGGGATTAAATTAACAAATCTTATGTTTGATTTAGTTTTCTAACAGATGCTCTTGTGTACCTGGTGGCGGGGACGGCCCACGATGGAGGGGAAGACGGCTCTGGGAGCGTCGTCTCCTGCGAAGCCAGCCTTCACCAGGCCGGAGCCGTTGTCACAGACGAGGGCGGTGGTCTCTTCATCGTCACACATGTCTGCGGCTTCTGGAGGAGGAAATGAGGAGGTGGTCAGTTGTTGNTTCAGACGATTACGCTTCAAAACGTATGGGTCCAAATTACGTTTTCCTGGCGAACAACCACATACAAGCTTCTTAACTGTCAATGCTGCAAAGTCATACCTCCACTGTATGATTCTATCCCACATTGAATACTGTTTGACTAACTGGTCGTTTGCTTGTGCCACAAACTTGAAACCTATAGAACAGCTGTACAAGAGAGCTATCAAGGTTTTTGACAGAAAGCCAAATTCATACCACCACTGTACCATCCTTGAAAAACACAATTTCTTAAGTTTTGACAATTTTAAGTCTTTTAAAAGTATGTGTTTTATTTAAAAATGTTTACATGGACTGGCCCCACCTCCCTTAGGGGAATTCATCCACAAAAAACACACTGGACGCAGCACTAGGTCAGAAACCAGAGGAGACTGTGAAGTCCACCGTAGACAGACCACTTTTGGACAAAATATACTCTCCGTTAAAGGCAGCTCATTCTGGAACAGCCTCCCAACTGAGATACGGAATTGTCCCACTTTGAACAGTTTTAAAGGTCAACTCAAAGAATGGTTGAGAAACAAACAGACGTGCGATCACCATTAAATGCACTTTAATACAGGGGTATCTCCTCTTGCACTTTATGTATCTCTTGTATCTCCTCTTGCACTTTATATGTGGTTGCTGCTATATTGTATTACCATGTCATAAATACTTGTGTATGCTGCTCTTGCTCTTTTGCACTTTTTGCATATCATGTATTTTGTTTTTGCTATGTTTGTAAAATGTAAACTTCTTAAATGTTTTATGTGAGGGACTGCGGATGAAAATGAGCTCAAAGCTAAATCTGGCACTGTTACGCATTTTTTATGTTTTAAGTGTTCATCACTGTGCATTGTCCCTGCCAAATAAACGATTAAATGAAATGGCAATATACATTTTGACTCAAATTGCATTATTGGTTTAAAGGCATTTTTCTTTGGACCAAACAATCCTCTAGTTTTTCATCCAGGTGTATTTACAATATTGTGGCTAGTTAGATGCAATTTGGGAGATCTGTATGACACCTCATAATGTGTAACGTGTAATATTGCAATACAATACTGCAAGCTGACCAGCCCTCTAACAATATGAGGCTTTCTTAAATGAAAAACATCATGTAGAATATGGAAAAGTCAGGTAAATGTGCTACATTACCACACAAACACTTTATCCAACCAGTGGAGGACATTTCTTTGTAAAGACCATTTGCACCAAAGTGTAGTGTAACACTGTCGTTTACCGCTTTGTTAAAATTGTGTTGTAAAACATTGTCATTGCATGTATATGTTACTGATAGTATGCATGTCCACATTCTTGTCATGTGTATGTCTGCAAGCATGTTTGTATTCACATTATTCCTGCTCTCCAACAGACGCTCTCTTTGTCACCCCTCTTTCCCCCTGTTGTTCTACTGCTCAGGTGAAAGGGATCCTGGGAACAGCCAGGTTCCAGCTTCCCAAAAGCCTCTCAGTGCTCGCGGCTCACAATGGAACAAAGATTGTCTCAGTGTTGGGATGCTTATGGGAAACCTAACCTAGACTGTAATGGCCACAGTTTGACAACTTGGAAACGAAAGGGGTATCGAGGACACGATACATCTACTGTATAAACCTGGGACCTTTTTACATCCTTGTTTTTTAATATCATACAGAAATAGAACGTCCGGTTTACTTTTGTGTAACAATCTTTGAGGTTCCTCCCAATTAGGTTGTCGTACATTTAATAAGTGTGTACCTTTCAGATCCCATGCTCCTCTCCAGAAATATTTCAACCAATCAGTAGGAGCCACTCATTTAAAATGAGTTTGTGCAGTGGCAGGCAGGTTTCCCTTTTCTACCAAGGGAGTGGTTTTGTCTTGCCTTCTTCCTCATGAACATTGAGAGTCATTGAAGTACAATACAGTACCATATGAGAACATCACCAGGGTATGGCTACCCTGGTGACCAGAGAGAAAGCTTTGTTTCTGAAAGTGTCTCTGTGCTCAGCTCTCAGTGTCTTTTGTAGTTTCTAACCAAATCTCTGTTCCTTACAATCCACACGTTCAGCTATCAGCCTTGTTTAAGTTTTCTTATTGCTTTCGGCTATGTCAGAGCTGTGTTAAGTTACACCTGATCACCTTTCATACTGCTTCCTCATGGGTTTTCCACCACTGAACCAACAGGAGGCTTTTATTGTGAAGCAGCTGTAGGAAGCAGAAACAGGGACTGCTCTCAATTGTTTACGGGGCCTCATATAAAAGCCTGGCACTGTCCGCTAGCTTAAATGGTGGAGTTATAAACACGATAATACCTACAATGCCATACCATAATATACAAACTTCTGCTACTTGACACGAACAAGAGGAAAGAAAGCTACAATCTATAACACTTGTATCCTTTTAATAGAAACCATCCAATATCAAAGATAAAGTAAATCAAGAGAAAACAGATGGTAAGAGTGTACAGGGTGAAAAATAAAAAACAGGTGACAAAAGACAGAATGTGCATTATTCACAGGGTGTGACACCACAACAGAGGCTCCAATAGTAAACATATGTGGTGGCTTGGTGCCCAGTGGCTGCCCTAACTCCAAAACAGGCAGTCTGGCTTTGGGTTATACATTTGGCTTGTCACGTATCTCTGTACTCTGTTACTGACATGTTGAAGGATTTTACCGTTTAGCCAATTTAATTCAAAGCGTGTACTTAACAAGCCAGTGCCAACCTTTAAACAACATGAATTAAAAGAAAAACAGCTTTGAAAAGTCTTTGAAAAAGCTATTCTTAAGATGATGTCTTGGGATGAATGGCATTTTAATATAAGCAGTTAACCTGCAGAAAGCTGTGTATGGTTTCTGCTTCCTGTGAAGTTTTCTCATGTTGTTGACATTATCCATGATGGTAACAAGAAGAACATGTGCAATAATCGTGATCAGATAAGAGAGTTGGTAAACTTGTGTTGTTATATATCTTTTCTGCACCAAAGTAAGGCTACTTTATAATGGGTACAGCCATGCTTTTCCAGACCCCTTTTTCTAAAACCTGAATGTCTTAAGCCAGAGTCTCCATTGAGCTTAAACCCTATTCCTTTTACATAAATGTTATGTAAAGTCTGTCTGTGTGTTTGTCTGTCCGTCTGTGTAGGTGTGGCCATGCCTGTCTGAAGTTTCTGAGGCTTAGAGCGGAGCATTGTACAAAGTGACAACCCCATCAAAGAGACCGGGCCTGCATAAAAGGACGTTTTATGACTCTGCCCTTCAAAAGAACAGTTTGAGGAGTTCAAAGCACACACACAGGGAAAGGCAGGCTGTGGATGGAAAGTTCAGCGCAAAACCAAGAGTGAGACAGAGAGGATAGACGAGAGTGATGGAGAGAGAGGGGAACATAAAAGGCAAAGAGAGGAAAACCCTCAAAAGCCATTTGATATCTCTCATCAAAGAGCGATACTAACCTGCCTCACTTTGCATTTCCAGCTCGATGCTAAATCTTCAACATGAGGTTGTCATTCTCTCCACGGCAGACACACATCAAGCCCAGCTGTGCTGTTTGATCAATCCCACCATTTTGCATGTGTGTTTTTAAGGGCACACACCTTTCAGCCAAATGCCGCGGATTTCTCTTAGAAGACAGAAAATGTCCAATTGTGATTTACAGTGAGGTATTGATTGATGGTTCAAATAGGAACAACGGTCAATGCTGATGGACTGGCCTTTTGTACACCTATCCGCTGCAGTGCAAAGATTTAAAGCCTCAGCCGGATGGTCTGCCACGAAGGCAGACACCTTCTGTGTTTTTAATTAATGGCTACAAATCAAAGCTGTCCAGCTGCATCTATTTTCCAAAATGCTTTCAATCCACCAAAGATTCCCAATGTAATCTAAATATACAAAGATTACAATGTGGTTCTTTTAACAAGCATCGAAAAATCACAAATGTCTTCTATTTTCTTGATTTTTGAATTGTATTTGGTGCATCAGCCATTTATGCAGGAGCAGTTATGCCAATATCTCACTTTTGGGATAAAGTATTCATACTCCTATGTGTGTGGGTGTCCAAGTCATTATTTGTATGTTTGTTTTTGGTGCCAAGAGTCTGTCTGTAGTTCACATTTTACACTGTGTGTTGTAGTTACTTCACTCAACACTCTAAATGTTTTGCAAATAACTGGGTTTATACGTTTATACAATTGAACTATTGTAGCAATTAAATGACTTCAGATGAAAAGGCAATTTTTTAAAGCATTTTTCTGACTTTAGAGGTATATACCCAAAGCACATACATACACAGGCAAGTGAGATTTAAACAAAAGTAGAGCAATCAACATGTTCCTCCCAATGTTATCTGATATGTTATCTGATATTGTATAAGATATGCACTTAACAAATGTAACATACAAGGCTTTCATATGTTGCCGGTAGGCCTTTGATACGATCTGAGTTCAGTCAAATGTCTTGTGTGGCTCCACAAGAAGTACCCCTGATTTACGTTTCAGCCCAAAGCAAACTTTTAGCATCTCTGCAGTCTGCACAGATATATCTTAACTTCCCTCTTTTGACATCAAGCTGGGTAGTGGTGGTATATCATTGATTCATTTCTTCACTATTTGAGTCTGAGCTTCCACATCTGCAGTGTTTTATTTTCTCTTAACAATTTGTTGAATTAAGTTTGTTTTAGAAAATAAGGTGTCATTTAACATGTAGCTTCTCATGTGTTGCTAAAAGCCAGATTGAAGTACACAGTGGCAGCGTCCATCCAGAAGAAACCGTAGAAAGCGAAACTAATCAACACAAGGAAACACAGACAGAGAGCGAGAGATTGGAGACAGACGGCAGGTAATGGCTCATTCATTATTCATTATGGAGAAAAATGTTGCCTTCCTTATTAAATCACAATGTTAAACACAGATGGTCCCTTTCCCCAGATGATTGTAACAGTTACAGTTACCACAGCGCCATAATGGAACAACTAATACTGATTAGCACATAATATGTCAAACACAGCCTGTGAATGTGGAGTCAAAGTGGTCCTTTACTTAGATCATATTTCTGTTTTTAATAGCTGGAAAGCATTTAAGTTTCATCATGAAGCTCAGATGACATATGCAGTCAGTGGAAATGTTCTTGATTTTGCCACTGTGTGTGGGTGTTGTACTGGTTGTGTTGCGTGGTGATTAAAGGTGGAGGTGTGGGGGTATGGTGTTTGAGGTGGCAATCCTACCCTCACCTCCCCAACTAATCCCCCAGTAACAAAGGCCTGCTTCTCTGCTCTGTTGGACTCTGAGCCCTGCCGGACCCTGCCTCGGCCTCCAGGCCCAAAAACCCTGCTGTTTACAATTTCCCTATTCCTGCTTTAAATGTTGCTTCACCCCGAGGGATAGAAAAGGGTGGGGTAGGGGGGTTAGAGAGATGGATAGAGAGGCCACAAAGGTGCTGTTTTGTCCGACAGGGACAACTGAGCTATTACACAAGAGATGGAGGGAGGGAGAAAGGAAGGAGGAGGAGAAGGATAGGGTCCCATCGGGAATTAGCCAGCCAGCTGCTCCCTCAGGGACCAGACATGAGAGACACACTTTTATTCTGACAGGAAGAGGGACTCCAAAGAGCCGTGAAGAAGAGACAGGAAGAATAACCGCAGAAGGACAAACATTAAAAAAGCAGAGGAGGAAACAGAAGGACAAATGAAAAAGAAAGGAGTAGAGTAATTAAGGAACCACGGTTAAGGGGGAAGGATGTCATTTAAGCTTTAAAGTGTATAGCAGGCATGGTGAGCTACCTCATATGAACAAAAGTTATAATTCCATTACAATGTTGGACAAGTTTTATGGACTTTCTGAACTGTTAAACCAATGGAAAATCAATGTTTGTTTGCAGTAACATCTGCAATTAAACTCCCTTAATGATTCATCTAAGCATTTAAGTGCATGCTTTTTTGTGATCTTAATGAAACCAAAATCAAAAGGGTCTTATTCCTATTTTTTTTGTAGGTGCAGGTACTGCTATGTTGATTTGTATTAAAAAAATAACGCTTTGTTTTCATTTTAACACGAAAGTGAAAAATAGGGCTCATTCCTTCTACTGAATGGAGTTTTGCAATGTTGTCCAGTGCCAACATTTTGTAAAACGTCAACTTTTTATAATATTTCACCATGACCAACTATACTACAACCCTATTTAGAAAAATCCGAACTATCCCATCAAACTGTATTTGCACTAAGTCATGCTAAAGGCTTCACATGTATATATAAGTCCCTATGGACCACAGAGATGGTGTAAGTGCGGTCGTGGTTTACAGCCCACATAAGCTGTAGATCTTTTTACAATGAGACAGGATTGATATCTCCATCGGCTCGATGAGACAGCAGGCAGCTCAGACGTATGTTCTGCCATTTGTAAGGCACGAGACAAGATATCCGACAGGAAATATTAACGCAGCTAGCGAAGAAACTGATCGAAATTTCAAAATCCCAAAAGAGAAACTAGCCAGGCCAGAGAGAGAAAGAGGAGAAAGAGAGAGTTTTTTGCTTTCTTTCTTTCTTTCTCCATATGGCAGCCATTTGTCTGGAGGAGGTCTGTCAGACATAAATAATAGGTTATGCAAAAACAGTAGGAGGTAGGGGGACGCTTGCTTTCTTCCTGAGGGACGGGATCTCCAGAAGCTTGGTGTCCTTCACGGTAAAACGGGGTGAAGGCGAGACGGAGGGAGAGAGAAAGAGAGATGGATTGAAGGAGAGATTGAAGGAGAGAGTGAGGGGGAGAAAAAACTGCTAGAAAGTGAAGTGGTCAGTATGTTGTTTGGATAACCAGAAGAGACTTTTTAGGGTTTTCTAAGCTGATGTTTTTACTTAAATGCAATTGTCCTGAGCCATGACCTGCACGACATGGCATTCATTGCATTAAAACAAGATGAAGTTTGATTAATTGCCTGGCCAAGATGGCAGGAAGACGACATGCCAAGAGGAAGAGAAAGTGAATGAAAGCCAGAGAGGTGGAGGGTGTTTTGTGAAAGGGAGATGGAGTGCAAGGCAAAGAACATTAGGGCCTTCTCGAATTTGTGCGCGCTGATTTTCATCTGAAACCAATTAGTTCCAAACCACGAAGACAACACCGAGCCGAGTTTTTAAAAACATCCTCTCTTTCTCTCTGCCCCATCTTCCCCTCTCTCTCCTGACCATTCATGTGTCAGGCTCTGCAGCTCTCCACTTGGTCTAGACTTCAGTGTGTGTGCGTGCGTGCATGCAGGCATGTGTGTGTACGTGCGCGTGCACTTAAAGGCATCGTGATTAACATTCGCCCCAATTCGCTGAGGGACACGCATTCTAAGCCCTTCCTTCCTGCTCCGAGTGGAATTCTCATTAGCTGATAACTACTTTTCAAGAGACTGCTGCATTCCTCTGCTGGATACCAGGGGCCTTACAGGCATCCTCAACACACACATACACACACATGCATGCACAGGCAAAGCCAGAGATACAAACAAGAATTGGCATCCTAACATGCAGAGACACAAATGGATACACTTGTTCAGCTTGTAAATCTAATTTGAGACTTTTTATTCAAAGAGTTTCATGGCCTTACAACCCTCATAACTTCAGTCATAAGTTTCCACAAACACAGACAGGTACCAGGCAATATCATTTCTGATATGTTCCTGGATGACTCTGTTCCCGAGCTCCAGGACAGGAAGAGAGCACTTTTGCTTATTAGATTCTCACCAGAGGTTTATGGTATCTGTTAGCATTGAAACCAAATGCTGTCCAGCATCTCTGCCTCACTTCCCAGGACTGTGAGGCTGCCAAGCAGACCAGGTGGGGGGAGAGGGACAGAGAAAGGGAGAGGGGAGTTTTTAAGTGGGGGCAGACAGAGGAGAGACAGGGACACCTGGTGCTCAGTTTTCTCATCATCATCACACCTCATTTGGTTTCATGCAATTTTTGGGGAGAGCTGTATAAGATATCGACTCCATTCGGAAGAACCTGACATTTATAATTCCCTTTGGGCCATGAAAACCTGTTGATGCGGTAAAAAGAAATATGGTCATATGTGGGAACATGGATTTAAAATAAAATAATGTATAAAAAAGTAATGTGGGGAACCAATTTAATGCCAGAAATGTTAGCCAGGTCTTAAGACAGCCACATCTGGCCAGAGTGTAAATGTGCTAAAGGTGCTCGGTGAAAGATTAGTCAACAAATGACCATCTGTCTCATATTCTTCTCTCTCGGCATAGGTAAACTCACCTCCTTTCCCTTGCCATCTGTCTTTTTGCTTACAGTAGCGTCGGCATGGGCAGTTTTGTTTTACAACATCCAATTCTCCAACAAGCCCTTAGATTTGTCTTGTGCTCAAAGTGCACCACACGCTCGATACTTCATGTCAACACATGGGGCTATTAATTTATAATGTGTAATGCAGAGTGGCCTGGTTATTACAGAGAGTGAAGGTGGAAGTTTCAGTGATGATCTAAAAACACAGAGTTAAGGGAATGACACTGAAGATTATTTTCCCTTCATTGCAAATAACTTAAACATAACATAGAAATTAAATGCATAACATAAGCAGCATTAATCTATGTTAATGATTATTGTAACAACACACAAGAAGGATTTGGGATTGAGTATAGGAGAATAACAACTCAGTATCGTCAAGAGATATTTCAAAAATATTTTTTTAACCCAGCCAACAACATAGATCTAAGGCAATGGAGGACTGTCATTTAGGATACATTTGGATTTGTAACTAACTCGTGCAATTTGGTACACGAATAATTGTTCCCCTTTACAACTGATTATTTCCGAACACTTAAAATAAGGTTGCAAAGCTTGATAAGTTTATACAGAATAATATAATGTGGAAAATGTGTGCTCATTCTCTCTCTTTCACTCTTTCGCTGTGCATTAAGCCTCTCTTCAACTTGAAGGCTAGATAACAAGTAAAGCTATTTGATGACATTTCTGTCGGTATCTTTTTCTGTGAGTCACACCTTCTCCTCTATGATCGCTGTTGTCTACCTGTAGGACTGATGAAGGCCAGTAGCTCTGTTATAGGCCAGTGTTGCCACCTTAGCTCCTATTCAGTCATTTGTCTCTCCAGGAACACTTCCCCTCAGCCTGTAAAATGATCACCGGATGGCTACTTGATTTCCCTCTCTTTTTCCCTGTCTACTCTCCTTTCCTCCCTTCTCCTCATCTCCGCCCTTTTTTCACTTTCTCGACCCCTTTACAGCTCTCCAGCTCACCCACCCCAACATATAAATTTAATTCTCTCAGTTCTCCTTCCCCTTTTCTCCTCTTCCATCATTTTGCCTTTCTTCCGTTGCTCTTTTCCTCCCTAAAATGGATGCTGTTCCCCAGGGAGTGGTCAGCAGAGAGCAGGGGAAGGAGGAGGCACTTACTGTAGAGCCGGCACAAGGATGCTCCTGTAAAAGAAAGCTGTTAATTCATGGAGGTATTAAGGGTTGGCAGTTAAGAATGATGAGAGAGGCGCTGGAACTATTTCCTGTCTATTAATTCAAACTGATTAACACGGTGCTGTAATCAATTGTATTTGCATTAAGTCTTAATACTTTGTATTTATTCATTGAAATGTCACCTTTTACCATTTTGTCATTATTCCTATGCTATTATTTATTTTGTATCACTTCGACTTTCCTTTCATTTTTTAAATTAAGTCTTTGATTAGTTTATGTTGAATGTTTATACAAAAAATAGTAGGTATTTATAGCTAGTTTACTGACTTTTTGTTTCGATAATCAAAAGGATATTTGACCAAATACAATCCAGATTTCCATAATCTCAGTGTTTGTCCAAGAGGCACTTTGTAAAAGTCCTACAACCAATAACCCAAGCTTCCATCTCGTGCTGGGTCATCAGGGCTGAAACATACCTGAGTTCCTCATAAAACCACCAAGTGATACCTAAAAACGCCACAGGCCTGTGTCTGTGTGTCCAGCCGTTAAGAGTGCAGGAATTTTGGCATTTGCTCTCAGGTAAATCTTTTATGGAAGTCGGTTTGTGGTTTTTGCTAGCACTCAAGCAGCGGTTTATGGAAGGAAGTGCCCCTCCATAATTTATGTTCTAAACTAACTGTAAAAGTTTGTTTCCAGGGCGAACATTTGTAAGCTTTTTGATAAAAAATTAAAGTCTCCCTTCTGTTAGTTGTACATCATTGCCTATCTAACATGTGTTTGAATCATTCACATTTTTTGTCTCAAAGGTGGATAGAAATTCAAGAATGATGTAGTGGAATCCCTTTTTTTAAACTCCTAAATTATTTCAACTTATAGTATCTGACAACAGAAACTCAACACAATGCAGTGGCGGCTGGTGGAAAATATTTTAGGTGGGGCTGTGGAAATGGTGACCAAACAATACTATGGGGGTCCGGGGGTATGCTCCCCCGGTAAAAAAAAATTGAGAAAAGACCCCTTAAATTATGACTTCTGGTGATGTTCGAGGGGGGGGGGACAAATTGAGGCTTAAAAATATGAGAAGACTGATCAATACCTCAATACCTCCATAATCTTCAGTGTGGTTAGCTATGAATCTTCCAAAACTTCCAAACACCTTGTCCTGGACATAGTTTCTACAGCATAAACTGTGCAACAGTACAGTAGGCCCACACAAACTGCAGAACACCGGGGCTTTGGGAACACTCCAAATTACTTAAAATTATTTAATTCCCATTTAACCTGTTAAGGGGCTTTTTTCCCCTGTTTTTTTTCTCACGAAACTGTGTCTCAGGGCTTCTTAAAATTCAATAAACTATTCATGTGTCCTGCTCATTTAACAGGAAGAAACTCAGCTAACATATGAACCATGTTTACCGAAACAAAACACAAGTCTCACAAGAAGCGTCTAAATGAGCCCCGAGCGAAAAAATGCTAACGCACTCTAGGTATAAATCAATCGATATACTTATCGGATATGCACACACAAGCTTAGCTAACAAGCTGAGATTCCACAGATTCTAGAAATATAAGTATCATCACTGAGCGATCAGAACTCGCGACAGGGGAAGCAAATACAGACATCACACAACGTATAGCTTTAGGTAGCAAAACACAGAGATATGCTCACCTTTTGCTGTTATTCTGATCAAAAACAAGAAAAACGCGGCTGAAGTTTAATCCATAGGTTAATCTAATGTGTCTGTCACTTTGAAAAAATAATTGATATTCCGTGGCCGTTTCTCAATCTGGAGGATGCTGGCTTGGTAGTCGCGTACTTCCAAGTCACTTCCTTCAGAAACGAAGCAAGTATACTTCCAAGCCACGGCTTCGGAAAACGAAGAAGAATGGAACAGGCTAACAAGTGTGCCACTCTCTCTAATGGTTTCAACATAAACTGTACCGAAAATAAATACCTCACGATGTCTATCTAATTATGAACTTGCTTTACTTTCACGGAACACATTTTTGGTGATAACAAATGTAACAAAGTAACATATTTACCAACACATGTTCATTTAAATGTGTGCTGCGTCGGTTCAGCCATTCTCCGCAAGGTTTTTTTTAATTGGTCCGTGCACAAAGCATTGTGGGGATTTTAAGGACGCGAAGTCTACCCATGTGCAGCCTCGAAACTTCCCCCCAAAACAAGGACGCGGCCTCGGTGGAATTCCAAGTATGCTGGACATTGGAACGGTCCTGCTGCGACACTTGATGACATAGCATCCTTGAAATATTGGCTTGGAAGCCAGTATCCTCGAGATTGAGAAACGGCCCATAATTCCATTTTTTCCTATATTAGCTGCTAATGATAGCTTCCAGAGTGTATGACAGCTTCCTGTTTTGTCTCCTTGAATACGAGTCCAAACAACTCACAGGCTGCACCGGGCGCTGAAGTAGGCGCCCTGTGACCACCAGATTTGACGACGCTGATTGGCTGAAATTATGTTTCGTCTGCATAGTTTAAAGATAGCAACANGGAAAACAATATTTTTTTGGAAAAGTCATGGAAATGTAAGTTGCATCAAATGTAATTTATATTTTATCTAATCGCCGAAATATTAATACTATAATGATAATAAATACTGTATGGTATTAGTAATGAAACGTAAAATGGCATTTAACTGACGAGGTATTTAGCTGGTGAGAGATTTGAGTTGCTTTAGCGTGTAGAAGCTAGTACGCCAACTATTTGATTTGTTTCAGATAGGCAGAACATGTTTCATATGCAGACCTTATTTTCCTGTTCCATGTTCAAATAAACCATTTTTAATGGTACCGCTGAGAAAGAGTAATTTTTTTGGTCATGGAAAATTAGGTAAAGGTAATGGAGAAGTCATTGAAAATCATTGGTGAAAAAGTGTATGAACCCTGATCCGTAAAGAAATCCACAACAATCCCAACACCATTATGATTAGCTGTCATGACGTCCGTTTTTATATTTATTTCCTCAGCCAATCAGAATCGGCGTGGTCGGACCTCCAGCTGTGGGAAAAACCACCGTTTCAGAAAAGCTCTGTAATCATTATAAAATTCACCACATCAGGATCAGAGAGGTCATCGAGGAGAAGATCAAACAGCTGGTCAGTGAAATAAAACATTGCATTTATGTTACACTCACTGCTGTCAGCTCCTAAAGGGAGTATACCGCCCTCTGGTGGGAGTTTATCTCTGTGAAAAGAAATGTAATGAAAATGTTTTGAGAGCAGCAATGATTTCATTTATTTACATTGTTTGTGTTCCTTTCCATATGCTTCAGAAAGAGATAGTTGATGGAGCTGACCCTGAAAGTGCCAGTGAAGACTTAGCGGTTGATGCTGCACAGACACAACTGGAAATCTGTAACAAAAGCATGGAAATGAATGCAGGTAAGTAAGTGAGCGAAACTCAACACTAAATAATGATAAACTTTTTGCTTTATTGACACTTAAAGTTGGGGTTCGGATGTTTGCATACAGCTGCCTTGACATTACTACAAACTTGAAAAGTACTGCATAATGCTATAAGATATTCAAAATGACAGTGTTCTGAATAAAGTGTTAACTGTAGCTTTTAACACATCTTGAAGTTTTACATTAAGTTCTTCATTTGGAAATTCAACAAGACGTGGAACCCCTTCTACAAGTATATACGGGAGCTGGACATGCCGGATGTCTCTGTACAACAGGGTGGCGGACCTGCGGTGTTAAACTGTGATTAGTGGGCGGCTGACTGACCAACAAGTGCTATGTTTTTTATTTTTTTTAAATTTTTGATATATTTGGTATTTTCGTTCCATTTACACACATTGTTTGATCTCTACTTTTGCATTATGTTATTAATAATGGACTTAGACTCAGAGCCTTTAGATTTTGTTTTTGTTGTTGTTGATGTTTGTCCTGTCGCAGTCC